CTTTCTGTCATAAAGCCGGTCTTTTCCGTAATTTTTTGCCTGGGCCAAGGAACTCCATTTTGGGCCATCGAAACTCTTTGCCTGTTTTTTTCCAACGCTTTTTGAAGATCCCATCCTTTACCGCGCTGACACTTGATCGAGTTTTCTCGTCGAAAAGCGTTTTGCGTGTACTTTTCGTTTGTTTGTCATAATCCAACTTCCGCCTCATCGGTGTCTCCTACCGAGGTTCCCAAATATAAGCAGATGTCATTTTTTCCCAGTATTTTTATATAATGGAAATTGATTTCTTGGATAAGGGAGTAGCAGGTAACAAGCGTTCACGTTTTTGACTGCTCACTCCAATACTGAGAGGGACGGGTGTAAATTCAATGCTAGGCAGTTTTAGTCCTAGTTTAGGCACTTTTTTAAGAGAAGAGGTACTCGCCTTAAGTTTTTTTTTTGAAAGTAGAGTCGGCTGAGGAGGTACTCTGTTTTTTGTTAGGTGATTCAGGGGGTGTCGAGCGTGGTGAGGATGAAGAAGGACTGACTGGGTTTTTTTTGGCTAAAATTTTCAGTAAATTTGCCACAGGCCCGGAACTTAAATCGGCCGCATCTTCTTCGTCGTTGCCGTTCATGATCGGTAAACGTGCTTTTTTAGGTCCAGAAATCAACCTTCTGACCTAAATCTTTGACGATGGTTGCTTTTTAACCCTCCGGTAATTTTGAATTTAACATCAATCCTCCCATTTATGTTTGTTTATGTTTTTGAATAAGCGCTTCTGACTCCGAGGGTCCCACCAAATATATTTCTTCAAAACTCATTCTTTCAAACCAATACACAAAGGACAACTAAATTCTGCAATGGTATCGCCTGTTTTTTTCTGGTCCAAATAAAATCAACAATTTGAACACTGCATTTTATAGCGAAATACCAGATCACATTGAGCCCGTTATAATTATAATTCCCTGATCGTCCATTCATTAGAAACAATCAATGCTTTTTGTTTGTTGACTTGGTCTTCTGATTCCCACAACATCTTGATGAGATTACTTAACACGTCTGTTTTACTCATGGTGGTGCCCGGTTGTAAAAAGAAAAAAGGTGGGAAGGGTTTATACCCAATTTAAAAAAGTTAACTCAGTGATGGAACCACAGGTAGCCCAAGCTCACTATGAGAGCCCTGAACAACATTATCCGTTGAAAATGTTTTTAAAAACCTTCCGTTAGTAGCTTATCGCTGTTGTAAAAATATTAGCGACATCCTCGTTAGAGCCCAGCTTACTAACAGCACCGACACCAGTAACTTCCGACCCACCCCCGGTTCCTTTCGGTGCAACAACAGCAATTGCACACCTGTCCCTATATTGAACATGGCCGTACTTTTCATTCCACAGGTGAGACCCACCACATCAAATCTCATATCACTTGTGAATCTTTTAATGTTATCTATTTGATTCAACGTCGCCTGTGTAATCTACAATGTATTGGAGAAACTAAACGTCGCCTCAAAGACCGTTTTAATGAACACAGACGACCAATATCAACCCTACTGGTAATTACATCCATACTGCAGTTTCAGAACCAGTAATCATTCCGACAATCATATGCTTTTGATTCCTATTGAAAAACTTTAAAATGGGAGTGATTCTTTCAGGAAAGCACGTGAAGCCCACCTTATCCATAAAGCTAAGACAACTGAGACTCTGGGCATCAATAAACGTGATGAACTGTAACTATATAGAGCATATCTTTTTTTTTTGTTATCTTGTCTTTTTAAGTAGCCACACCATACCACGTCATATTCAACAATTATTCACCGAAGGCGAAGTTAATAACAACAATATTAACTATATTCACACGAAGTGATCTCAACAGAATCAGAAAGGAAACCATTAAAAAACGACTAGTTTGATTGACGCCACTTAAGTACGCACTTGTGCTTCGGCATTTGTCACCTACGCGTTTTCAATCTAGAAATGAGTATCTTCAAACATGGCAAATGATAGTTTTAATCTTTTTGTATCGAGTTTTGTAAGCTTTAGCATCAACAGTTTAAAAGAAAACGCCGAAAATTTAAATTACTACCCAATTCTGAGTAGAAAAGTAGAGCTTTATTTGTTTCTGTCAACTCACCGTGAATGAGAATTTTTTGGTTGTCGCTGTGGCTATATGGCCGGTAACCGGTCAAGGTGTTAAAAACACTAAATGACCGGCAGTCTCATATTCTCGGCAAATTTCAAAAAATCGAAAGATTCTAGCTAATCTAAACTATCATATTTCGATTAAGGCAAGTCAAGCAATCCTGAAATGCCTTATAGATCTTAAGTCTAGTGTTTGGTTCACGCTGGGCTCAGAAGACGAAACCGTGTTTCGTGACACCTAGAACTTTATTCATCTCGACTGCCGGTCAAGGTTTTCAAAACACTAAATGGCCAACAGTCCCATATTCTCAGTAAATTTCACAAATCAAAAAAACTTCAGCCGTTCTGAACTATCATAAGTCGTGATCCTGATCAAACCAGCCGGTTTTGTGGGATTTCTACATTATGTTTTTGTTGGTCTCGAGTCTTTGGATGTTCGTTACTATTTTCTGTCCAAAGGATGGCGTGACAGGCGACGTTAGACGTCATAACATCTTGACCTTTGATCGGCCTCCGTAGTCTGCCACACAGCCGTTTTTAGTGTCGTCACGCAACGCTCCTCCCCACTAACGGCTGCTGAAAAACCCAACCACATTCCTCTCCCGCGATTAGCCAATTAGAATTCAGCTCCCATTTTCTGGAAAGTGTTCGCGCCACGTTTGCGGTATGGTGACTCCTCCAATCACAGCTTTGCTTTTATCGTTGTCCCATGTGTGAATGACAGAACAATCAAAATAAGCAGTCAACTAGAGTAGTGTTGTCGTAGTCGAGTCCTTTCAATATTTTTGAGATAAGCAGCAACAGCAAGCAAGTCGAGCAAATGTGATGCACAACATGGATGTGGTTATAAAGTTGCCGGGTATAGTTTCGGGAAATCGCTTATCGATAATTTATAAGATTGCTTTTGTTTGAATCAGTACCCCTGGGAGTTTAGTCTACACAGTCTTAGCTTCACATGTACAACAACACAATGAGCACATCCGGCACATGAAATTCATCATACATATGCACGTTAAAAACAACCAACGGATACTGTTAAGAGTCTTGTATGCATATCAAACCCTTTTTTTTTTCACTTGGAATTTTGTTAACCGCTTAAAACAAACTTTTCTGCAAACAACCTTTTCGTTGCTTGCAGACACAGTGCCCATCAAAATTCAGCTACGATTGATTGATTTGCCGAAAACTGAGAAGCGTGTTCGCCCCTAGCGCCTTGCGGCTCACGTATTGTCAAGTTTCTTATGCATGATTGGTTTGTTCGTTATACCACAAACACAAAGGGAAAGGAATGTGGTTCGGTTTTCAGCAGCCGTTAGTGGGGAGGAGCGTTGCGTGACGACACTAAAAACGGCTGTGTAGCAGCCAGATTAGCTAGATTAGCTAGAATCTTTCCATTTTGTGAAATTTACGCAGAATATAGGACTGCCGGCCATTTAGTGTTTTGAAAACCACAGCGAAAAAAAAAAGAAAGGCATTGCGAGGTTTCGATCCTCGGCTCTTTGGCTTATGAGGCCAACGCGAAAACTACTTCGCCACAATGCCTGTTGTGAAAACTGGAGTGAAAAGTTAAGTTAAAAATCTGTGACGAAAAGTCTTGAATCTGTAGCGAAATAAACCATCGCTATAAAAATGAAATCTTAGAGGTTTAGGTGACAGATCGACGGCTAATTCTGGATGTTGCCTCAGTCTAGGTGACGCGTGTAGTTTAGAAGTTAGTTCCAAAGACTTAAAAATACTGAAAAGATGCTATTGACTCTAACGATGTGTTATATTTTGCAAGGGTAAACTGTAAGAGACTGTCTTCACGCAATTCTTGATTTCACGATCGATGTTCGCTGTCTATAAAAAGTGTTATCAGCCATAACGTAGCCCCGGTAATAACCTCTGTGAGTGAATCATTGTAAAATAAACGTATCGTTTTAAAAAAAGTAGCCTTTAGACAGCGAATAAAACCTTGTGTGTTTAAAATTGCAAAAGTTTAGACTCGCTGTAACTGCGCGTGACCTCCTGTGAAGTCAAAAACTATTAAAGTTTCACGATCGATGTTCGCTCTCTATAGTGCTATAAAAAGGTGTTATTAGCGATAACGTAGCCTCTGTGAGTGAATCATTGTAAAATAAACGTGTCGTTTAAAAAAAAAGCTAGCCTTTAGACTGCTAATAAATCCTTGTGTGTTTAAAAGTTTAGACTCGCTGTAACAGTGCGTGACGTCCTGAAAAGTTCAAACTATAAGAGATCCCATTAAACACACGTAGCTACGTTTTGAAAACTCTTTATTACACAAGTCCTCTAACCTACTACTACTTCAGTGAAACATGGCATTTAAAAGTTAAAAAACTGTGACTGTCAAGTGAACTCTCACAAGCAGTGTTATTCGTACACCATCTTAGGACCAAAGCTGCTTCCCCTTGCCTTAACAGCTCATTTAGCCATCGCATTTACCTGATGTTGCGTTAAATGAATGGGTTCCTCATCAAAGTTCACACGTTTCTCATTTCCGCTGTCTCTATCCGGTGAGAGTTTTAATGTAGATGTATAGCCTGTCTTTCCCTGTTGTTTTCGCTGTGTTTCTTTAACGTGTTTTGCCACAGGATGTTTCTTCCGTATTTTTGTAGGTCTGTTGCGTTTAGCCCCTTGTGTCTGCCGCTCTACTTTGAGCTTTCGTGAATGTTTAGATTGTAGAGGAGATTCGCTTGGATTTTAAATTGTCGCCTATAACTGCGGTTCGTTCTTTGCGGGTTTAGTACCCGTGGTTATCTTGGGATAACTGTGACAGTTTTCAAACACCTCTGCGACTACCTGTTTGTCTGAGGGAGTTTTGGTTTGATTGTCTATCAACAGATACCCATAAGGCTTTTCGATTGCATTCACATAGGCGC